CCTTAACCTCTCGACCATACGACGATGGTTTTGAGATCATCAGTGTGAGACATCACAAGAGAAATATGAAGTAGCTGGAATTTCTAAGGAAATTGATTCCAATACTAGTTTTCTAAGATAATCAATAGGAACCCCTAGATAATCAATAGGAACCCCTAGAGGAACCCCTAGAGCTAGATCCTAAAATCCTAACGAAAAGAGTAATGACCTCAAAATGAGGTCAACAGTGGTGTGTGCTGATTATATGATTGGTGCTTTTGCTGGTTAAGTTCATGTTCGTGGTTATGTTGTGGTGCTTGTTGATGCTGGGGTTGGTGCTTTTGGTCGTGTGGGTTGATGTTGGGTTTGATGCTGGGCTTTGTGTTGTTGGTGGTGTGCTGATGTTGGGGTTGGTTCTGTTGGCTGTGTGTGTTGATGTTGGGGTTGGTTCTTTTGGTTGTGTTGATACTGGGGTTGGTGTCGTTGGTGGTGTGTGTTGATGCCAGGTTTGTGCTCGTGGTTTGTCGTGATGTTTCCTTTCAGCTGGCTTTTCGAGTTATAATTTTTTAAATGACATTTTATTTTTCATTTGCTATGCATTTATGTTGCTTGTGATTTTTCATGTTAGTTTCGTCACGGAAAAAACAAAAGAAACTGGTTCGTCTGTCATGTGGGGCTAAATATGTCAAATTTATTTTCTGCAACCTTTGTCTTAGTGAGGTGAAATTAGAAAATAGGCCAAATACCTATTTTAAGGAGGGTTGGCAAAATATAATAAAGAAGTTCAAGGAACACACATGAAGGAATATGACAAGATGCATTTGAAAAATAAATGTGATCAGTTAAAGGACTGGAAATGATGGAAAGAGTTGAAGTGTGGATCCACAGACTTGGGTTGAGACCCTATAAAACGAACCATAGTTGCTTCCGAATAACAGTGGGCCGAGAAATTGGAGGTGAGAATTTATGTTACGTGAAATTCCTTACCAATTATTTACATCTTCAGTTACATCAACATATGAATAGACCATTACTTTGTAGGTTGTTTCAAATGCTAAAAAAAATTAAATTTAGTGGTATCATCCCTGAGCTTGAAGAAAAGTTGGTCCGTGTGTTTGTTAGAGTCATCGTAATGGGAGGCCATGCATGGACCCCTAGCGAGAGAGGGTTTGTTGACATAGTTGAGCATGTGGATGCCGAGCTAATTTCTAGTTCAAATGAAACCCCCAGTCGTAACGTTAATGAAGTTGAATCTACCAGTTGTTTTAAGTTTATGGGCTGAGACAAAGAGAAAAGAATGTTTTGTTTTTCATTAGAAGCCAAATATCACACTTAGTTGTTTCTTGCATTAATGACCCTAACATATCACAAATAACTTCCATTCAACATGTTACGCTAATTCTGGAGCCAACTCCAGAAATTTTTGAGGACATGCCTTTGTATTTATTCTCTATGAAGTTGCTTGAAGACCCAATTCAGACAGTGCTTTTAATGACGATGACTCCTGACCCTAGTTATATTATTTTCATGAGAACAGAGATGCTTGATTTTCATTTATGTTAGTTAGACAATTTATATATGTTTTTCATTGGGACACTGTTTATGCTGCTTGGATATTTATTTTTCACTGGGACAGTATTAACACTGCTTTGGATATTTGTTTTTCATCGAACAATTTGTTATTTTGCTTTTCCTAGTTTATTTATGATTGTTGTTTGTTTAGGTAAAGTTTTGACAATAGTTAATTCGACAATTCTTATATGTGGTAGCTCAATATACAGTGAATAACATAAACGCACATAGAGGCATAGAAGAAGAATTGCAATTGTGGTGTGTTTGATATATGAGTACTAAAACTTATATATAACTCGATCTTCTTGCATGAAATTTTCATACACTGGTGATAATGTGTTGGACGGTTGCTTGTAGGGCACACAACAATATTCAACAATATATTCCTTATGACACTGTCTGTATTCATCGATCTTTTAGAGCTACACATGAATTATGGACTTCATGGCTTCTCCAAAATGATTTCCGGAGAGGTGTTGACAATAACCCTTTACATTTTATCTCAGAATGAATATATGAGAGGAGCCATTGAGCGATTCCAATACTTATATGAAATTATCAACGGATCTTTTTCAATTGGGTTGAATGCTCTAGTCAGTTTCTCATCTAAATTTTTTAAACCAGGTGACCCAATATATGAAAGGACTCTCATAAAAATTGCACATGACCCGCAGAATGTGTCATATTTTAAGGTAATTTTATTTATTCATTAAATCCATAATTCAAATGAATACTATAATTTACAAACCCTTGTTAAATTTTTTAGAATTGTATTAGAGCGATTGATGGAACACAGGTGGATGCACGTGTATCGAATAATGAAAAGATCACATTCATTGGGCATTGTACATTGTATTTAGCTATAAAACATGCTTCTAATACTTTGAGTTCTTCTAATTATAAGTGGACATTATTTTATGGAGGAATTGTTAGATAGGTTATAACTCTCAATAAAGGATCTTGGACCTTCAAGGGAATTCGAACTTTCAGACCCATAAACTAGTGAAAATGAAGCAGATTGAGATGAGATTCTCTATGTAGCTTTACTTTTGTTATGGTGTTTGGGAACACAGCACACGACAGTCGTATATTCAAAGTTGCCACAAGAACTCAGAAATACAATCCTCCTCACCCAACCCTAAGTTTGGTCGACCCTAATCCCTAATTAGACATTTTTTCAGTGCAATACTAATTATTGCATGTGTTGGATAAATATTGTTTGGTCGATGCCAAAGAGGGTTTCTAAAGCCATTTTCAGATACCAAATATCATATTCTTGATTTTGAAAGACCCAACAATGTCGCTTGTGTAAGAAAGAAATCTTTAACAATACACAATCATTCTTATGCAGAGTTATTAAAAAAAACATTTGGAGTGAAAGAAAAAATGGGTCATACTGCGGGATAGGCTGACATATTCTTTTCCTAAACAAGTGCAAGTTGTCGTGGCCACAATGACTTTCCACAACTATATTTAGTGGCATCCTTCTCGTAATGAAATTGACTTCAACAGGGTTGATGAAGATCGATCACATGTCTTTATTGAAGCATATGAATATTGTCTATGACAATCTTTATCACCGGTAGAAGATGAATATACTTGCATCCAGGATGGAAAGGTGCAGTGGAGATAATAGAGTTGAGAGTGGATTACAGATGCCATCGCTGCTGATGGATCGATTGTATTTTTTTTGTTGATACTTTATTTGCAATGTGTTGTAAAAATTTTAATTGTTTATTGTATTGTTGTTGTATCCAATTATCTATATTTTGAATGTCAATTTAAATTCTCATTCTTTTGCATGTATTCTTCCCCAATTGGATGACTGATGAGGTAACTTTGGATATAATATGTAATATAAATTTTTATTGCATGTTTTATTTAGTGTTTTTGAGTCTATGAAGAGACATTCGACCTTAAGAGTTCTTCTGGACGACCTATATTTTGCTATTGGTTCTTGTCACGTGAAATTCCAATGAAGACAACCAAGTTCCTTTCCTTTTTTTAATGCTGTGGCTTTTGAGAATACAAGAACCCTTTTTATAATAAGGTCTAGTGACAGATTCGTTTGTTTATACTATGTTCCCCGAGACCTCACAGTTTAATAAAACTTGCATTGATTGCTTCTAATATTTTTTTTTGCTAATGTTACATTTACGGATTTGTATTTTTTGTTTTAAACCATCAGAAAAGATGCTCGAGGACAGTGCCTCTAGAGCATTGCATTGTTACTGCGGTCTACAATGTTCTTTACTTATTTCGCAAAAGCCAAATAGCTACGGGAGACAGTTTTACAGGTGTCCGAGTAGAATATTAGAGTGTGGCTTCTTTAGGTCGGTGGGATGGGTTGGAGGTATCTATCGTCGATAGTGATCGGGCGTGGCGAGTTTCCTTGGAAGACTGTTTATCTCGTGACAAATCAATTATATTTTAAAATTATTATTATTATATTATTAATTGTTATTTTAATAATTCTTCTTTTAATTTTAATTGTCGTGGTACTCACAATTTTGTGACGTGTCTGTTTTTATTTTGTATCATTCAAACTGAATATTTGTTTTCAAGTATGGAATGTGCTAATATAAATAGTTATATAAGCAACAATTTAGTATAGGGACAGAAAAGTCATTTGTTCAAAAACAGATGCAACATAGCTGTTTTAAAATTGTAAAAAACAAACAGATAGTTTTTCCGTAACAGCTTTTGCACAACATTTTTCTGCTACAGCTGCTGTGCAGCTGTTTCGTGCTACAATTGCTGCGCAGTGGCTTTTTAATAAGCTATAGCTGCCCGAAACATACCCTAAGAAACATCTTTTAAAAGATAACAATTATTAGATATTATCATCTTGTCAAATATAATTAGAATATTATAATTATTGACTTTAAACTCTACAAGACTACAAAATTTTTACAAACATAATTTTTTAATTTCACATGCAATCCAGTTTTTTCTACACATTTTCTACCAACAAGAAAACAAATGAGCCTCAACTTTTACTAGACATTCATCTGAATATTATTCTCTCTGACGCACTTAATTAATCTGGACTTGGTCTTATTGCCTGTTTTGCCGAGTAAAGTTCCATTTATTAACCTTTCTAGTCGTTTATATGCAGAGATGTTACTATTCCAAGAGTTTGAGATCAAATGATGAACTTTATTTGTGTGCTCTTCTTTAATCTTACATATTATCTGCCGCTTTCGATTTGAACTTATTAAATATAGGGGCATTTACATAAGTAGCTAACACCTATACTTTCTGCATTTATACCACCCAAATCTTTAATATCACCTAAATAATATCACCATTTTAACTCTTAAAAAATTAAATACACCTTTCATGCATAGGTATGTAAAAATTTTAAGCATTAGATATGTAAATGCATGGGAATTGAGTGTTGTATATGTAAAAAATTCTTAAATATATTATGCAATTTCTGTGAACAGGAGCTGGAGAGGGCATTTACCTTTTGGGGTACTCCTGACGGCGACGTCATTCATCCTGTAGAATGCATGCATCATTTGCTTGAACAAGTTCGTCGCTATAGAGTGAATGTTGATGGAAGTATTTGCAGTGTGTTGGTGACAATATTGGTCCTCGAGGTAATATACACTTTTCATCATTTGCATGTATTCTACCTTTCAGCGATCATGTAATGACTTAGTTGCGTTTATCAAAATTGGATTGGATATGTAAGCGGAAGGGTTTTCTGAAGATTCAATGATTTAGTAGGAGTTGAATTGGGGGTTGATTCAGATGATATTATAAATCTTAAAATCATTTTTATATGATTTAAATCATATAATAATAATGTAATAATAATATAAGTGATTGGTTAAGAACCCCATTTTTTAACCAGATTCTCTTTATAAGTAATTTTGGGCCTTTTACTGAATCGGCTAACGGACTGGTTCACCGTTGAACTAGCTTGACTAGGCGATCTTTGTTTGATTTTAAATCAAAAACCATGGTTTTAGCTTTCAGGAGCCTAGATTCGCAGAAATGGAAAACTAGTGTTAAAATCAAATTAGAAGATTAAATTTTATCACACAATTAAAAAAAATCATTATCTGTGAAAAACATGTTTATTTTTTACTTGCAACCAAATGACCCACAAATATTTTAAGGGTTAATGCGGGGCTTGTTTGCTAGGTTGAATTTAGAAATATGAAATAATAAAAAACAGTGAAATTTGTTATATTCATTCATACATGTTTGGATATTTTGAAATCAAATTGAGAGTCCACAGCTCTTAAAACTACCTAAAATAAAATGATTTTATTTTTAAATAAAAAATGATTGAAAATAATATTTTAAAATATATTTTCTTTTTTCGATCAACCAGATGTGTACTTAGCTGCCTTATATGTTGAAGACATTGCTTTAGAACATTCTCTACATTAGCTGAATTGTAAGATTCCAGACACCATGCACTCATCTCCAGTTCCCTATGGACATTTTGAGGTGAATGGTATAACATTTTAGGAAATTTACTTGCATACCACTATTCTTATGTATTTACATATCTAACATCTAAATATTCATATTTACTTACTTGCATGCCATTCGATTTTTTAACATCATATTAAAAAATTACAATCACTATCTTTTTAAAAAAAGTGCAATACACTTTTCAATGCATATGTTTATGACACCAAGGTGTTATAAAACTTGGGGTGTTAGATATGTAAATACATAAGAATCGTGTGGTATGTATGTAAATTTCCCATGAAAAAAAAGGTTTTTACTAGCTTTCGTTTTTAAAAATAGGTTTTTTATTTGCAATTGGCCTTTATTTTTTGAATATCTATTTTATTTGGATAAATTTCAATTATTTTACAACTAGCAATTGCACCTTTTCATCATGTACAGGAACAATTATTGAGTTTATTGTTTTTGCTCACATTTTAGGGTTGGCAACGCAAGCTTGATCCAGATTACGATATAATGCATACGCTGAGGACATTACTGTTGAACCCAGACGGCGTGCAGCAGCCTATCGATTACTTCTTCTCATAATAGAGCTTTTTGGCACACAATTCCATAATTTTTTCTTAATTTTTGATGGAGAGAAATAAACATTTTAGTTTGGCTTGGCTTTCTGTCTTGAATCTGATTAATCAATCAAATTTGAGCTCGAATCCAAGCTTAATTTTTTAAGTTTGAAACAGCTTGTGAGGATTTTCATTTTTTATGAAGTTATAGTTTTGATTCAAGCTAATGAGTGAAGCCCGCGTGAGCCCAAATTTGGCTTGCCAACCCATCGAGCTCAACTCACAAGTCATTTACCTTGTTTAATTTATCATGTTGAGCTCAAGCTGTCTTGCCTGTCGGGCATAATTTATGCTCTCAAATGTATGCTGGTTTTACATTTTGCCATGTTAGTAGATTTACATTTAAAAATAAATGATGCTTATGAATTTTCAGGTTTGAGTGTATGACCCTTAATTTTTTGTTAAAATGTTCTAAAATTTCGAATAAATAGTTATATATTTTATTACATGTTATATTTAGTGCAAAGTTCTACGTCAGATTTTTTAATTATACACTGAAATAAGGAATTATGTGCTGACAAAAAAAAATATGTTTGAATAAAACGAATTGTGTATGATGAAGCCTTGTTTTTGTACATGATGTTTATAACGTTAAATTTATTATATTTTTTAAATGGAAGAGCGGATTTTTTCTTGTGTTGTCTGTGCGGTTGTTTTGGCAATCATAGGATTTATCACTACTTCAACAGTTTAATTTTGGTACATGCTATTCTCCTTTTTGATCATGGGCCTTAAAAAAGTCATCTAGAACCGAAAATTGGGCAGCTGTACAAACATAAAATGCTATTGAAGGCAGCAACCAAAAAGAAAGAAAGAAAACATTCTGTAGACAAAGGCTTTTAAATGAAAGGCTGAGTTTATTCATGTTCAGAAATCTAACAACAAAAAGATATGAGAATCCACAACCGTAATGAAGAGAAGTTAGAAGATCATCAAGCAAATTTTTTTTTCTAAATCATATTTTAGATTATTTTTAGGGGGAAATTTTTATTTTTCATTGTTAAGATAATAAGAGACAAGTTGGAAATGAGGATCATACTCAGCTTTATCTAAAGATAAAAAAACATATAAAGACTCTTCAGATAAAAAACAAAAACAAAAATAAAAATAATAAAAAAAGCCAACAACTATAAACAAACTAAGAGAAACAAATATTACCATTTAAAAAAAGAAAAAAAAAAAAACTAAATAAAAACCAGTAAGAGTTCTAAACAACAGAAGAGCCTAGAAGATCAAGATCTTCAATAGAGAAATATGACAACTTTTCCATAAATAAAATATCGAAGAGCAGAGGTGAACCTCTAGTTCAAACATCATTCATTCTATTAGTCAAGCAACATACAATCCAAAATATTAGTCCGTTATAAATAGTGTCAAATTACTAGTTCTATTTAACAATCTCTCTCCCAATCTGCAAAATATTTAACAAAATAAAAAGAGGGCCATAAGAAATCACAACCCAAACAATTCCAAAATAGAAAAGGTAAAGAATATTCACCTAATCAACAAAATGAAGAGATTGAAAAGACCCTGAGCTCATAACTTACATGCAAAATTATTAAAATTCATTCAAAGAGCTAATGAATATAAATATACAAAAGAACAAATGAATTTTAATATAAGGTTGGAAATTATTATAGCTCTACCAATCCTAAACTTTCAAGAAAAAATCAAATATAATTTTTTTTCTTATCACAAGAAAAGATATTAAAAAACAAAGTAGAACTAACAAAA